ACAGCATGGATGATGACTTAAACGAAATGGCCAACCACTTTTAACTAAAATAGCAAGATTAGTTATGCTTTTGATTTTTAAAATTTCCCACCCTTAGACCGTTGCTTCAACCAAGGGCATGCTTATTTTACGAAAATTTGTTAAATTAATCTATGTTTAGTGTCAATGTTGATGTCAACTGAGTCATAGTGTCAGCATGATATTACTTTATTTTGGGTGAATGGTATTTTATCCCCAGAAAAATTTTGAAGTAGTCATTTTACCTCACTTAGATATTGAAATCTCACATAGCATAGGGCATACATAAAAAATGTAATGGGGTGGTACTTTCGATACACTCAGCTACCATTTAAAAAAAAATTCAAGATGCAATACACGTCGTATTTGATTGTTTCTAGAAGTTCTCAATAACTATTATGATTTTTAGGTGTGTTCACCCTACCCTATGGGTAGGAATTATCGCATTTCGATATTGTGCGGAAGAATTTTTTTCTTAACCTACCATATTCGATCAAATGTACTATTCCTATCCAAATTTCGTCCAAAATAATCTGGTAAAAAGTTAAGTTGAACACATATTTTTTAGTAATTAATTTTTAGATCATTTTAACAATTTAATTAAGTAACATGTATTAATTAACTAATACAATAAATCAATAATTCTAAACAAAACACAATAAATTCGATAATACATAAACAATTACAATAAAACACAACTGGAAAGTCATAAACATCAATATATCGTATATAAGAAAGTCATAAACATCAATATATCGTATATAAGAAAGTCATAAACATCAATATATCATATATATAAGAAATACATAAACACCAATAAACATTAGAGTTTCTAGATTTTTGAATTTTAATTTATAGGGATTAACATACACACACACACACATATATATACGGATAGGGTAAGGTAGAAATATATAAATTTTATAGGTATTTTGTACTCCTACCTAATTTTTTTGCGAAATACCAGAAAATCTTCCGTTTGCCTACTCGAATCTTTCGGATAACCGATGTGTATAGTCTAATCAAATAAGGTAGGATAAGAATTTGTGGGTAATCAGAAATGTGAACACCCATAATGATTCTAGACTACCAAATTTATGAAATGCACAATCCTCATCAGCCAAGACCTTTTTTTTTTTTATGTGAAACGATCAATTTTTATTAAGACGGAATGTCAGAAAGAAGGAGGGACAAAATTGGTTTAATTTTGATGTTTGTATTCGCCATGAAATATCTTTGCCCATTAAGACGGGTCAAAATTTGGACTGGGTTGAATTGCTTTTATAGGTCTTAGCGAGAACTTAGGAAAACATGATAACCATGTTTAAAATGTAATGCAAAGAATTATGGGTGTGTCTCAAAATTCTTAATGACAATGAAAATTCAAAGTTTGCTTCTTTGGATACCAAGGAAGTCCTTCAGTTTTTCTGGAGATGGGACTCTTTTTGTCAAATTTTGACGCAAAATTTCAAAGTCTCAATGGGATTTCAAACTTCATCAGCCAGTGATCTCAATGAACACATAAGTTTAAGTCGGCTTCTGTCATGAAATTTAAGGGTATGTTTGGTTTGTGTTTAGAAAACAGTTTTTTGTTTTCAAAACTCTAAAAACACTGAAAACATGTTTGTTTAGATTTTTTCAATCTCTAATTTTCAGAAAAAAATGAGAATTGAGATGAATTTTTAGAGAACATGTTGGGGGTGTTTTGGCTGAATTTGGGAACAAATTTTCAGGAACGCAAAAAACACGAGAAACAAGCCCAATTAATGAGATCTCAGCATCGAATCCCATTAACTACAAAATATAGGAGCATCAACGATTAACTCCAGTTGCCTTCTCCTTCTCTGCCGAAGTTCGACGGCAACGTATGAGCACCGACGAAGGGCAAAGGTCGATAGCGAACAACTGTAGTCTACTCTCTCTCACGCAATTCATCTCCTCTCTTTCTCTCTCTACAGCAGATTCGAACAGATCTATATATATACATAGATCTGTGCGTATATACAGATCTGTGTTCAGATCAGTTTATATACACAGATCTGTGTGTGTATATATGTGTGTGTGNTCTCTCTACAGCAGATTCGAACAGATCTATATATATACATAGATCTGTGCGTATATATAGATCTGTGTTCAGATCAGTTTATATACACAGATCTGTGTGTGTATATATGTGTGTGTGTGTGTGTATTATGTGATTTATATGAATATGAATGTGTGGGTGTGAGATGGTTGTATGTGTGGGTGGGTGTGCAATGGCTATATGTGTGGGTAGGTGTTTGTTGGCTGTGTGTGTGGTTGTTCTTGTTACGTGAGAAGATAATGTGGAGAGACAGAGAGAAAAGACTCTGGATGGTGGAGTGACTGTCGGAGACNGGGTGGGTGTGCAATGGCTATATGTGTGGGTAGGTGTTTGTTGGCTGTGTGTGTGGTTGTTCTTGTTATGTGAGAAGATAATGTGGAGAGACAGAGAGAAAAGACTCTGGATGGTGGAGTGACTGCCGGAGATAAAAGGTACAAAAGTGTGATTTTTTTTTTGGGTCAAAAATAATAAGTTAAAAATTAGTTTTGTAGATTATTTCCTAAACAGATTTTACAATTTTTTGTTGTTTAAAACTATTTTTAAAAATGCATAACCAAACAGGTTTTGCAATCTAAAAATTTTCAAAAATACTTTCTTAAAATTTTTCTCAAAAACTATTTTCAGATACTGTTTTTTGAGATGCAAACCAAACCGGCCCTATGATTTTAGATTGNTTTCCTAAACAGATTTTACAATTTTTTGTTGTTTAAAACTATTTTTAAAAATGCATAACCAAACAGGTTTTGCAATCTAAAAATTTTCAAAAATACTTTCTTAAAATTCTTCTCAAAAACTATTTTCAGATACTGTTTTTTGAGATGCAAACCAAACCGGCCCTATGATTTTAGATTANCAGATCAGTTTATATACACAGATCTGTGTGTGTATATATGTGTGTGTGTGTGTGTATTATGTGATTTATATGAATATGAATGTGTGGGTGTGAGATGGTTGTATGTGTGGGTGGGTGTGCAATGGCTATATGTGTGGGTAGGTGTTTGTTGGCTGTGTGTGTGGTTGTTCTTGTTATGTGAGAAGATAATGTGGAGAGACAGAGAGAAAAGACTCTGGATGGTGGAGTGACTGCCGGAGACAAAAGGTACAAAAGTGTGATTTTTTTTTTGGGTCAAAAATAATAAGTTAAAAATTAGTTTTGTAGATTATTTCCTAAACAGATTTTACAATTTTTTGTTGTTTAAAACTATTTTTAAAAATGCATAACCAAACAGGTTTTGCAATCTAAAAATTTTCAAAAATACTTTCTTAAAATTCTTCTCAAAAACTATTTTCAGATACTGTTTTTTGAGATGCAAACCAAACCGGCCCTATGATTTTAGATTAGACTGATATTTATTTATAATGGTCCATTTGCATAAAACGGCATGAAGATATTTTTTTTTGTAACCAGAGATGCAATAGTTTTTTAGAATCATAATATATTAATGAACTAATTATTGTTTGTACTTGAAGGCACGAAATAATAAAAAAATAATTAACAATAAATATTTTTGTATTTACGACCAAAAATAAATCTCAAACATAAAAGAGAGAGAAAGNTTTGTAACCAGAGATGCAATAGTTTTTTAGAATCATAATATATTAATGAACTAATTATTGTTTGTGCTTGAAGGCACGAAATAATAAAAAAATGATTAACAATAAATATTTTTATATTTACGACCAAAAATAAATCTCAAACATAAAAGAGAGAGAAAGGAATTTAAGTATCGATTGTAGTGGGAGTAAGAGGTGGAAATAATGGGTGGCCGATGATGGTGGTGGAAGACGATTGATGTGGTGGTTGGTGACGATCGTGGGTGGTGGTGGTGGATTTTGGGTGAAAATGGTGTTAGTGACAGCCATAGGCGACATCGGTGGTGGTGGAGCGATGGTGGCAGTAGTGGTGGCAGTGGTGAGCAACGACTAGTGCTTTCTGAGCAACAGTGTGATGAGGGTGGTGGTGGGGCTGTGGGGATGGTGGTGTAGTGGTAGTGGTGGTGGGGCGGTAAAGGTAGTTGTTGTTGTTGTGGTAGAGATGGTGGTGGGGGGTGCGACGGTGGCTGTGGTGGTGGTGGTGAGGGAGTGGTAGGTGGTGGTGGTAGAGTGATGACAACGGTGGTGGTGGTGGGGTAGTGGTAGGGATGGTGGCGGCGACGAGCATGGTAATGGTGGCTTTTTATGGCAGAGGTGATAGTGGAGCGGTGGTGGCAGCGGTGATAGTAGTGGTGATGATGGTGGGGGTCATGGTGGGGCGGTGGGGGTAAGGGTAGTGGTGGTGGCGGTGGCGGTGGTGATGGTAATAGTGATGGTGGTGGCGCGGTGGGGATGGTGGTAGTGCGAATGTTCCAAAAACTACTTTTTCTAAAATGTTAATGAGAAGTTATACGTTTTAATTAGAAGCACTTTTAAAAAGTTATCACAAATACACTGTTAACACCTATTTTCCCTATTAAATTTGGAATGTTAATATTAACCACCGGATTAATTTTAAAGTAAAATTTAAATTGATCTCAATAGCAAAAAAAAAAAATTATTTTGTTTATCTTTGGTGATTTGAATTATATTTTTACTTAATTTCTCTCAATGATAGATCATTAGTCACGACTTTAAGTGAGACCCCATTATACATAGGTAGATACCGTACTAGTACACAGTAAGCCCCAAACAATATATGGTTGGTGATTTACCATCGCAATAAATCAACATAAAGCTAGTTACAGTGGATCTAGATCTTATAATTGATTTACATTGACTAAAAAGTAAGAGTGGCAAATTTGTTTGTATGAATTCCTTTGAAAAAAAAGTAATAACATTTATGGATTTCATCCGTGAATAAATTTTCTAAGTGTCCAACCTATTCAAATTTCTTCAGCCAAACATCCATGACCCTGAAACTTGGTTAGCTCAAATGTGATTTTCCTTGATCCGCCACGACAAAAACAGTGGCAGGAACTGCAACATCCGACTCAATTAAAACCCGGTTCATCGATACATTCCTCAAAGAATGCCTAGGAAATGAACCTCTGTTTGTGCTTAATGTGTATAATATATGTTTTATAAGGTCTGGAAATAGAAGAATTGAATTGAGGTCAATTGTCCATGAGCTACCGTTCCCCTGCACAGTTCCTCTTGCAACCGTGGCCTTAACTTCCATACCTCTTGCATTATTTCTGTCAATAACAACTTGATCAACCTTTTTGAAAGCCCCATTTGTTTGATCCAACTGAACAATTTCAACCCCTTTATATGATCCATAAAACATGTTATCAACAATATTCACCCCATTCACGACCCCATTTATTGATTTGAGGAGAATATATGCATCACCGAGAAAAAAATTGCTCGAAATGTGAAGTTGTACAGGGTCTTCAGCAACAATTCCAGTATAATCCAAGTAGGAATTCACAATCCTGGTTTGTGTCAATCCTTGCAATTTTAGGTATATCCCAATACCACCAAAATTGGTGGCCTTATTGTAGCAATGTACCCCGGAAAAAGTGTTGGCTTGACCAGACACCATTATTCCAATTGCAGCAGAAAAAATAACTACATCGGTGACAGAGTTGTCATTCCCCATAAGGTTTATTGCAGTTCCGAAGAAGTTCCTTTCGCCAAGATCACCACCGGCAGTGATGTGTTGGCCTAAGAACGAGTTCCGAATGTAGGTCTCATGACCACCTTGGACTAAGATACCATTTGTGGTGAAATGGACAATGTAACAGTTATCAATGCTAATTCTAAGTGAGTTTATAATTTGGATGCCTCCACCCTTGTAATTAGAGTCCAACATTAGGTCTCTGAAGCTTACGTACTCATAGTTGTATTCGTCGGAGCCATTCGTAGCTGATAAATCAAGCAAATATCCTTCAGTAGGGAAATTGTTCGAAGCTTTTAGGGTTCCTCCATGTATCTGTTTCATCGAAAAAAGATGGAAACAACTTGTGGTTAAACATGAACTCAAGCTTCAATCTTAGAAAATCATATTACAAAGAGTTAAATTAAAAAACATGACAACTCCACATATGAGACCTTTGCAACTGCATGAGTTAAATATACGCAGCATCACCTTAAATGCAGAGAGACTGTATTCGTGACTCAAATCCATGACGCTTAAATCACAGAGTTAGATAATTTTTAGAAGGACAAAAAAAAAGAGAGGATTCTAAAGATCCAACGAGGATCATAACGACGTGGTTCTCATGTGTATATGAGACATTACTGAACAAAACATGCATATAAAATCTTCAAATGCATGGAAGAATGAAATGGACTACCTGCCATTTGGTGAGGTGGTTAACCTCAGAACTATTGGGTTTGTGTTGGACTTAATCAGAAACCACACTATTAATAAAATGATGATAGCCAAATTAGGTGTCCCTGTCCTTTCATCACAGGATGCCATTCTTGACCTAAGAAAAAACTAACAATATAATCCAACTATTTATGCAGTGATTAAGACTAGGGAATTCAATGAAAAATCACTCCGTATTCATCCCACCACCTGGGTCATTCCAAGAAGTTCGGAAAGAATTGGAAGCATACCATGAGGTTACCTCGGCTGGCCACCGGAAACCGAAGGGGACGGTTAATTATGTAAGTTCCACCTTCAAGATTAACCTGTGCACCACCAAGATTAACAATACCTTCCATCAAGAAGCCATTGCTAGGACCATTAAGTGCATCTGACATTGCTGCAAGAAGTGCTTCTGTACTGTCTGTTTGCCCACTTGGGTCTGCTCCGTAGGATGTCACGTGATACACACGTGGACTTGGTGTAACCTGCATCATATACATATATAGTTATAATAACTAGCACCATCACTATCATGACTTTTCATTGATTATTTGCAATTTCAAGATTTGACATAGATTAACAAAGAAGCAATAAAGGGCGGGTCTTCTGGCAAAATCATGAAAACAGTTACTCTAAATGTTAATAGTTATGCATTTCAGTCTCCCAACATTCTGCACTGACGAGAGACTCATGAACCAAAAATAAAGAAGCAACAAAGATAATGAAACAAAATTAAAATCAACGAGATTTTTGTACTCACCGACTGTGATGGCGATGGCGATGGCGATGGCGATGGCAATGGCAATGGCGATGGCGCAAAGCTAGACGATGGAGATATCGGGCTAGGTGAGAGAGAAATCAAATCACGTCGAAGGAGTGAGGCCTTATACGCTTCCATTTTTTGCATTTGGTCATGATAACGACCACCAGAAAACCGAGCAACTGGCCAAGAATTCTCTCCATAAACTTGAATTATGATAAAACTAGCCAACACTACAATCATAGAAGATACCAGGGCTCTTCTTTCCATTTTTGCTCTCTTAGATTTTGCAGAGGACTTGTTGAATTTTGATCACAGAAGCATTCAAGTTATATGCTAAGGAAGAGAGGGAGCTAGAGAGAGAGAGAAAAAAAAAAAAGAATAGGGGCACGGAGAGAGAAGGGCTTAACTAAGATGTGAAAGAAAATGGTTAGATCTTATAACATGTTGGTTCATACAAATAACACCCAGTGTGGTTATTTTGATTTTCTTACGTATAAGTTTCCACAGAGCCTTGGCGTTTTGAATTGTTCTTTCTCAGACAGAAAAGTAAGCAAGCCACCAACTTCTTACTTCAAGGATTCAAACAAGTCGTACATTGTGTGTCAAAGGTATCCTTACCGCCAAAGACAAATTTGAGGGTTGCTTGCATCACAGCCGGCTGTGACTTTGAAAATTTCAGCGTCGCACAATCGAGGGCAGTAATTAGTTAGGCAAGCAAAATGAGTGAGGGAACAGAATTTATACGTGTGCTAGCATTGATGTTCTTAGGTTGTATCTTCATGGTATTGGAAATTAACATCCAAGTGAACACGCAATTAAGACCAATACTATATAGACCTAATTTGAAGACTTAATTTTAGGACCTAATAATGTGACTTTAATGCAACAGTTGGATTAGTTGTTAGTTCCAATGTTAGATGAAACTTACTACCGATTAAGTGATTGTATTAAAGTAGGTCTCCAAATTTAGTCCAAATAGCATTTTTCCGCAAGTAAATATATTTGCTTGTGTCTAAAAGCAATTCATCACACCAACTCTCATTCTCTTCACTAAAAAGGAAAATTTAAATTGCTAACACAAGAAAACCATTTTATTTTCGCAAATATATTTTGTCTCTTCGATATGAGATTTGAGACGGCAGGCATGTAAGACGTTGCACAAAATATGTGACGGAAAAACTATTGCAGCCACACCAGGCTGTCCCAAAACTTTTTGCGTTGAAAAAGCCAAAGCCAAAAAGGCCGTGCAATAAAGTGTCAGATACGATGCTTTCTCCAAAAACAAACAACCAAAAAACATTATTTGCGTCGCCAATTGGAAGTAATTGAGGAATACTTATTAGTGTTAACACAAAGGGTTTAAGATTTAGGTTTTACGCTTTAGGTTTTTGGGTTTAGAATTTAGATTTTAAAGTTTAGGGTTGGAGTAATTAATCAGAGAAAGTGAAATGTGACGGAAATTGATTTATATGCTTGTGCTTGCATTGTCAAAAAGAAATAAAGACAATGCATAATACAATTCAACAATATAACAATCAAATTAACATTGTTCCACTTGTGTGCAAAATATATATAATCAAACTTTTATATAACAAAAATTACGCTACAACTACTGCAATATATTAATTCAAATATCTGAGAAAATATAATTATTATTCATCAAACATCTATGATTTTAACATTTTTAATAAACTTTATCTTAAATTTCAAAAAAATATAATTAATTATTTTTTTGCAAGTTTTTACCTAAAGTTCATAACATTATCTCTAAACCATTTTTTTAACGTGAGTTCGTGTAACTTTTGTGAGGAAATCATCTAAAAATTTTACGCAAATTCCTGTAAATGTAAAAAATTTTATTCAGAAATTAAGATCAGTTTTCATTTGAATTCAACTTAAATATTCGTAAAATTTAATCAAATTTAAGTTTAACTAAAAATTATACTTTATACTAGATAATCAAATTCAACTAAATTCGAGTTTTAATTATAATCACGTCAAGTCAATAATTAAATTTAAGTTCGACTCAATTAACACTTCTATCTTAATCTTACAAATTAATTCTTATTTATTTCCGTTCACAGTGACACCATAATGTTTTTAATTTAAGTATTCTTTATTCTTTTTACAATGAATTTCAATTTTACTTCTACTTAAATACTCGAAAAATTCAAGAAAAGTTAAGTTGAAATACAAATATGTATTTTATACTCGACAATCGAATTCAGGTCAATTCGAATCATAATCATAATAATTTCAAACCGATTATCGAGTAAAATGATAGGATTCTTTTAATTTTTTAGCGGATTAAATATTTGGAGGAGTTTCGATCATTTGATCAATAATCTTAAAATAATCTAAGCCATGAAAAACTTAAAATAAACAATGCTAATTCCCTTATTAATATAGATCTATCACAAGTTACATGTATATTATTCGCCTATTAGACTATTTGAATATTATAGTATTTTTATTTCAATACTAAATATAACCTATATATAATCATTCAACTTGTTTTGATGCAAAAAATCTGTATTCAAGGCCCATTTGTGTGTTTGCAATTTCTAAAAATAATCTTTAATTATATAACATCATAATTAACGACCTAATTAATATGTTAACTATTAATTTTTATACTGGTCGTCACAATATGTAAGAGGAAGAGAGAACAAATTGAGAGAGACATGTTAACTGTATGAGCACCAGATAGTATGAGAGAGAGAGAGAGAGCTATAAGAGAGATAAAAATGTTATAATTTTGGAAGGAATAAAAGTCTTGTTCAAAAACATTGGGGGAGGGGGGGGGGATTCGCATTAGGACTATTGGATCAATAATCTCTTCAAATGATTTGAGTCGTGAAAAACTCAAGACAAACAATTTAATTACTTTATTATATATATATATTTCGTGTAGTTCAACAAATCTGTATACTAAAAATTAAGTATTAAGCATGCAATGAATCCAACTAATTAACCAAATCTGATAAAAAAAAACTAATTAACCAATTCACATCCACAAAATTCACCAACCTTTAAATTTCATTAGATCGGACATTATGTAACCAAAAATCTACCCAATGAAATCAACAAAATTGAAACACAGAAAAGAGAATCCCTATCCAACTGAATTCAAATACATCAGCAAAACCGCAAAGGTCAATCTTCATGGCCTTGAGACCTTGTGCATTTCCTACTCCCATAACAGAATGTGGGCAGAACACCAAAGACAACCTATGACAGGACAGACTCAAACATCAGGACTTTGGAGACCACATAAAATCACAAACTAAACAGTCCCCACACAAAACTAATTCTAAAAAACAACAAAATTTCTGAATTAAACAAAGTCAAGTAACTTCAACAACATGGATCATTACATAGATTCATAAGTGAATTACTGATTAGCTGTTTCACTCAATTTTCAGGCCACTTTAGAACTCATATAAAATCACAAACCAACTAGTCCACACAAAACCAAAAAAAAAAAAACTTCTAAATTAAGCAAAATCAAGTAACTTCAACACTTGGATCAGTAGAGGTCAAAAAAGATCACTTAACACCCATAACACAACTGAATTTCGTAATATTATCAGCAAAATCAAATCCAAATATAGTTGATGATATAATCGATATTACCTGAACGAAATAGATCCACATACGATGAATTGAGAAAGAATTAAACTCTCTCTCTCTCTCTCTCTATCACTTATCTGCTACTGTGGTCCATTATTGTTTATTGGTCATTATGAATCTTATCTAAGAAAGTCATGAAATTTTTTATTTGCTAAGATTATTGGATTGATTTCAATTTGTTTAATAGGTCTTTTTTATTGAAAGCTTGAACCCAAATGAGTGGTATCTAATCTCTATTAAAATGAGACTTTTAGTACAGTATATCCTTCAGGCTACGTTAGTCTTAACTAGTGATTAATATCTAAGTATTTACAAATCATAACTATGAGTACTCGCCTTTGCATAACTTGAAATTATATATAAATTTCTATTAGGTTACGTACATGGGATGTAAATCATATGTGAAATGTATCATTGTCAATGCGATCTACTTTGTGATCCCTCATACGATGATTGGACCCCCGAATAGCGACACGATGTTCCCTACGTCAAAAATTCTTGTTGAATATACAGTTGTCAATTGTTGTAATATGATAACTAAAAATAGAATCTTGCATTACTCTTGAAATTGTGCAACTACGGGAGTGTTAATTAGCACATAGCGATGGGCCTGCTGTCGTTCTATGTCACTAAGGGTGAACACTTTCTCATTTCCTACGGGACGACTACCTTGTCCATCCAATGTACTATTACCATCATAATTCCTCACTCGTTGAAGCAAGTTGGTCTCGACATCATGCAAATATCTTGAGTAAAATGTCACACATTCTTCCACCAAATATCCCTATTCAATGGCGCCCTCTAGACGAATTCTATTCCTCACATATGATTTAAGTGTGAAGAGGAACCTATGACCATAGATCAATGGTAAATGGAATTAAATGAAATGATAGAGAGAATTTGCATTAAAGTTAAGTTATATATACATCATGATTCACCTCTCTATAGGATACATCCAGTGATATTGCACCGGCCCGACAATCTTCGCCTCCTCAGCTAAATTTATGGGCAAGTGTTCCATGATATTGAAAAAGTTAGGAGAAAATACCTTTTTGAAATGGCAAAGTGTAAGCACAATCCCAGACTAGAGGCGGCCTAAATTATCTACTTGCAGGACTTTTGAGCATAAATGCCTAAATAAATTACATAGTTTAATAAATGGACGAGCCACTATCTTAGGCAATAAAATCCTAACAGCAATCGGCATAAGTTGTTCCATTAATATATGAATATCATAATTTTTTAGTCCAGATATAGTTTGTTGCTTGATGTTAATTCACCAAGAAATGTTTGATGCATAGCCATCTGGAATTTCGAGTTTTTTTTAGAAGTCTACAAGATGAGTCTTTCTCCCTATTGTCCATAGTGAAGCATGAAACGAGCAAATACAATTTGTTACTCACTTGTTATTGTGGGTCCAAAGCCTTTTGAATCCCCATCGCTTGTAAGTGTTGTCGAGCATTTGGATTGTCTTTCACTTTTCCAATAACATTTAAAAGAGCAACAATAAATTATCACAAACATTCTTCTCAATACACATCACATCAAGATTATATCGAATCGGATTGTGCTCCCAGTAAGCCATATCAAAGAAAATACATTTCTTCTTCCAATTGTAGTTTAGATTAGTCTCG